GTTATTTGACCTACTTTATCTCTTCAGTCTTGGCCCCAATGTAATAGAACACCTACCAAAGGAATAGTATCAGGCTTAAATGAGATGACATATGTGAAGTCCCTGGCATTTTCTTTCTTTCTTTTTTTTTTTCCTTTTCCTTTTTGTCTTTTTTACTGACCGGTAACGGGATCACAACCCTCGGTGTTGCGCCCGTACCGGGGACCGGCAACGGGATTGCAACCCTCGTTGTCGCGCCCACACCGCGCTCAGCCAGTGAGCGGGAACCGGTCTCCACATGGGATCCGAACCCTCGGCGGGAGCGCCGCAGCGCTCTCAAGCGGCGCACTCTCCAGTGCGCCACAGGGCCGGCCCAAGTCCCTGGCATTTTGACAAAAGCCAAAAAGGTGAAAGGCAGGAAAAAAAAGACAACCTCTTTCAGATGTGAAATTATACTGTGCCTTTTCCTGGTGGCTTTCAGAAAGCAAGGAAGCAGAAAGATGAGTCACAGTATTACTTTTAGACAGGCAGTTTGACTATCAGCAGCAGTCTCAAACTGGCTTTTCTAACTAGTATATTTGCATCACTAAACTTCAGAAAAAGCACCTATTCTATCCTGGGTTTCTCTAAAACAGTTAGGCATAATTACTGCTGTAGAAAACCCAGTTGTGAAAAAAAATTTTTTCACTATTAAAGAGGCTACCAGAGTAAGGGAGGAAGGAAAGAAAAATAGGGTCAGATGTAATGGAAAAGCAGATCAGGCAAAGCCCTGTAGGCCACAGAAGGGGTTTTGGTTTTACTATGAATGAAATACAAAGCTTTTAGGTTTGAAAAAAGATGATCTTACTCAGCTTTTAACAGGATCACTCTGGCTGCAGTGTGAATAACAGACTGTTAAGGGGAAGGTGAACGCAGGAAGACCAGTTGGGAGTCTACTGCAAAAATCTAGATCAACACGATGTTGGTTTGGGGCAGTGAAGATAGTGAGAAGTGATCTGATTCTGGATATATTCTGAAGGTAAAGCCAACAGAATTTGCTGCTTGACTGGAAGGGAGACGGGAAGAAAAAGAGAGTGGATCAAGAATTCCGAGGAGATTACTTGATGAACTGGAAGGATGGAATAGCCATTCACTGAGATGGAGAAGATGAAGGGAGAAGCAAGTTTGGAGAAAAAGATGAGGGCTTCAGATTTAGACCAGTTAAGTTTGAGTTTTCTATTAGACACCCAAAAAGAGATATTGATTAGAGATGGGATGTATATGTACCTGGAGTTCAGGAGAGATGCTGGCTAAAGATACCTGTATTTTCTTGAACTAATATGATCTGATGCTGATACTTTGATCTTTTTTTAGAAACTGTCAACAGAAGGCTTCACACAACATACTATAACTGCCACCTCACTGACAGTGACTGACAGATGCCACCTGATTTAGACTATGGTTTCTCACCTTGGCACTACTTTGGGCCAGATAATTCTTTCTTTGTGTGGGCTGTCCTGTGTACTGTATGATGTTTAGCAGCACCTCTAGCCTCTACCCACTAGGTGCCAGTAGCACCCTCCCATCATGAACATCCAAAATGTTAAATATCTCCCTGAGAGACAAAATAGTCCCCAGTTGTGAACAATTGTTTTATACAGATTAAAATGGAAAAGGGTGGGGAGAGGAAGTATGTCTTAAATAAATAAAATAGGGCATTAAAATTTGGTAGTTGTCAATACATATGGATGAAATTAAAAGGAATAGGTAAGGATAGAAAGGTAGTTTGAGGACTATGCCTTGGGGCATTCCAGGGTCAAGAGGTGATAGACAAGAGAAGAATGAGAAGGAATGGCTAATGAACTGGCCCCACTTCCTCCTCAAATTCCACTAAAACAAAAAAAGGGATTTTTTTTTTTTGTAATGATAAGAAGACAGTGACAAAATTTTGGAAGCTAGAAAGCATACAGCTGAGTGGTAACCAAATAACTAGACCCAAGAAAAGTTGAATGCTGAGCCAGCACTGAAGAAAAGCAGAGGAGTATCCCAATTTATATCATGTAACCTCAAAAATCCCAAGAAACAGAAGTGACAGTGGGACTAAAAGCAGAAGTGGTTGACAGCATTTTTAAGAAAGTAGTTAATTCCCAGATTCCTTTTTTTACTTGCCCACCAGCAGTGGTCTCAGGTTCAGATTGATATTCACTCACAGGACCTGAGAGACCACAGCTTGGCACCAGGTTCACTCAGTTCTGTGGAAAGTACAAGACAGCATGCTGGCATGCTAGCATCGGATCAGACAAGCCATCTTCAGAGGGAGTCCATATAGCCCATATTTTGGACCCATAAATGACAGATCACTGTAAGGGAAAGAGACCATGTGAGTTAAGTACACAAATCATCCTGGCTTAGGAAAACAACACGCTTCACAGAAACCAGTAGTACCCAACAGCCAATGAGGATAAGTTCCAGGGCCCCTCATGGGACATATTCATGTTCATTTGCAAGAGTTATACTGTACACCAGAAAGTTAATTAAGCTCTGTGTCTTTTCATAGGCTTCTACAGTTCTTCATGCACAGACTTCATGGTCTATATGCACTCACCAATCAGGGGTGAACTTTACATAAACAATATTACCTGGAGACATTCTATATTTAATCTTAATCCAGTATATTTCCAGGAAGTGAATGCCAGGAGAAGGAAAACACAAGGCCATTTTCCATGAAAAAAAGTGATCAGACCTGCTGTTAACCTGTTCTGCATAGAGCAGTGATTCTCAAATGAGGGTGATTTTGTCCTACAGGGAAAATGTAGTGATGCCTGAGGACTTTTTTAGTTGTCACGACTAGAGGAGATGTGTCTGCTGATACTGGGGCATTTAGTAGGTGGAAGCCAGGGATACTGCTAGACATCCGATAATGCACAGGACAGTCCCTCACAACAAAAAATTATCTAGCCCAAAATGTCAATAGTGCTGATGGTTGAGAAACCCTGATCTAGATGGAGTTGATGAAAGCTCACATACAGGACACTGTATGAGGACCACTCCCATGTCCCAACCCCTCTTTCCCAAATGGGCTACTAAAACACTGGAAGCAAAGCATATGCCCTCCATGCAGGAGACTGGAAGAATCTTCACTGGAGAAGCTCACCAACTTAAGAGAAAAGACCTAACAATAATCATAAAGACTACATAAAACAGAAAAGAATTTTAAAAAGATTAAATCTCTCATTCAGTTCAAATAAAATTTTATCAACCAGGGGAATGTTTGGAGTTTAAATAGGGATAAATATACAAAAAATTGAATATTTTTTTAAAATCTAAAGATAATTACTAATTCCAGGAAAAGCAAAATGATGTCCCAGAAAGGAAATGTAGTAAGAGTATACAGAGTTTAGGAGTAAACTGCAAATATATAGTCATTTTAACATAAACACTGACTATGAACCCAATCAAAATATACTGGAAGGCTGGGGGAACAGGAGGGGAGAAGTGAGGATAGTTGTCTAAAGACAGCTATATCCTCTTCTGCCAGAGTGTGAAGTCAGTAGATGACACATACAACTGAAAAAAACAGAAGTAGTAACATGAGTGTGAATTTAATAATATGGAGGTAAATACCATAAGAATCAGCTAAGAGTAGAAAGTGCTTACTTCTGGGAACAGAATATCACATGTAGAAGAGAGGTTTTTTGTAACAAGTCTCATAGAACTATTGTGACTCTTTAAATAGTTCTTATAGAACTACCATATTTATGATACCCAGGTATCATAAAGTAGAAATCAGTTTTCAAGCTCCTTATAGAATGCATATTACTTAGATAAGTTTCATCATAAAGGTTTATTCTTTAGATTGATATGACTTAACTTTCTTTGCAATAAAATTCAGTTTACCCCCAAACCAGTATGACTCGTGTTTGTTTTGTGGTCCACAGTACCTAGAACAAAGCTAGGCACATGAGTAGGTATCCAGAGTTACTGACTGATGGAGTATTGCAAATATAAGCTTATTGGAAAGACTGACTTTATTTTGCTGCCTCTGATTTTCTTCTTTCTTGTTGCTACCCTATCACAGAATGGCCATCTCCTTGAGGAAAATAACTCAATAAAGAGTTATCTTTCATCAAACTGAGATTTTTGTTAAAGTTATTATTATGACAAGTCCACTCCCTACAATCATCTCATCACACCCAGAAAAACTTCATCTTTTAAGCATCTGTTCATATACATCACTTTTGATTCCCTGAACTACCCTATTAGGAAGGTAGACCAAGTACTATTAACTCTAAGAGAAACTGATGATCAGAGAGGTTGAATAACTCAAAGTCCCATGGGCAGTGAGTGGCAAAGAAAAAACTCAGAACCATGTTTTCTGCTTCAGAGCCCAGTGGTTCTTTCCACTACACTAAACACTAACTCTTTGATAATAAAATGGAGTAAACCCTGAAAACTAGAATCTCAGAAGACTGCAATGGGAATACGAGTATTTTTCCTAAGTTTTTGTTTTAAAACAAACATGCATTGAAAACAATTATTATCAGCTTAATAACTGTTAATGTCTTTGCAAACTACTTTTCAATTTTTTCACTCATGAGAAAAAACTGATATTAATTCAAGATTTCCAGATAGTAGCAAGAATAAAAAAGAAGAAACTCAATCTCTTCTAAATCATTTTTGTGACACTGCCGTATCTAGTAATATATTCCTTCTGTAGTCTGATTTTAAATCTTAACTCAGAAGTGTTTTTTTTTTTTTTTTTGACCGGTAAGGGGATCGCAACCCTCGGCTTGGTGTCGTCCGCCCCACGCTCAGCCAGTGAGTGCACGGGCCATCCCCATGTAGGATCCGAACCCGTGCCCTTGGCGCTACCAGCACCGCACCCTCCCGAGTGAGCCACGGGGCCGGCCCAACTCAGAAGTATTTTTAACAAATTTTAAATGTACAAGAACTAAGAAAGTTAATTAAAACTATGTTCTTTGAATATCATTTCCCCTTATTTTAATACTAAAATACCAGAAAACAAAGTTTGAACTATTTACCTCAGTAATTGGCTGCCCCTGATGTGTCAAATCCAGTTCTTGAGGGCGTGTTACTTTATCAATATCCAAAGAGTCCATGCTGGAGGCTGCAGAAGTGATGCTAGAACGAGAGGAGTTACTAATAGAGCGCACTTCAGCATCACTCACTGTGCCTGCTGATGCGGTTCTTCTGTGCTGATTAGTTACTAAGGGCTTAGTATCTTCTAGTACAGACTGCTGAGCAGCCTCATCCATGCTCAAGGAGGCCTGTTCTAATTGTGCAGTGATGTCGTCCAGGGAGTAGTTGGCATGGGAAGGTTTAGTTATCCTATTAGATGAAGAGGATAATCCTTTCAAGGTGCCATGTTTTGATGTATGCCGGCCAGTAGATAATTTCTGAGTAGCTTTCATTTCTGTGATTTGATGCTTACTATTTCCTGAACCAATACTGCTGAGCTCCTGTTCTATAGAGCAAAGATCAGCCATCAGGGCATCCAGATCCACAGTCTCTCCCTGATTCAGAGCTTCTGCAATGAACAACACACATGATGTTTCCAGTACACAATCAGAATTTATACATTCTATTATAAATCAGTAAATAAATGCAGGGGATGAAGCAAAATAATTCATCCCAGTGGGCTTAAATCCAATCAAATAGAGTATTTCTAACAGTTTTTGTTTCTTTCAAATTCCAAGAGAAATTTTTCTATCTTTTAAGATATGCAGTAATCAAAGGAGAATAAAATTATGGGCTCAAAAACAAAAACACTACAAAAATCCTATGCTATTCACATTCCCCATGCAATTTTTTACCAGAGGCTTCAATAACTTGTTAACATGCTCAATGCTCTGGTAGAGAAAGATATTACTACCAAAAGAGCTAAGGGTATAAAAAGAGAAGTGAAAGATCTAAAAAATTACAGATTAGAATGTCAATTCCAAAAACAGTACTATAAAGTTGATGAGGTGGAGTGCATTAAATAAAGGCAAAGGCCAAAGAGGTTGATTTTAAAATTACTAACAAGTAATTTCACTAGACTTTAATCCAGTGAGAAAACAATAATGCAATGAAGGCTGCTGTGGAGTTTCATCTAAGTATGTACTTTGTCAATTACTAATAAATCAACTAGAAAACTATTTCAGTTATATGCCAGTTTACTGTTTTCTGTGATAACATGAATTAGTAGTATAGTGTACAAATCAAGACATATAAGAACTCAGCCAAGTTATGCACAGTTTTTTAAATGAATTTTCATACAGTCACGCACCATGCATAACAGCATTTCAAGCAATGATGGACTGCATATATGATGGTGATCTTTTAAGATTATATTGGCTATACCATATAGCCTAGGTGTGTAGTAGGCTATACCATCTAGGTTTGTGTAAGTGCACTCTATGATGTTCGCACTACGATAAAATCACCTAACGACCTATTTCTTAGAACTATCCCTGTCGTTAAGCATGACTATATTTGGAATTTTAGCTACACTGCTTTTACGTTATGTAACTTAGCATACAAGTTTACATTTCATTTCCAATTACATCTCACCATTCAAGTTGTATATGGAGAAGCGATATGAAAAATTGGCCATGTTTGTTTCCTGGCGAAGAGGAGATCTTTTTACTGGTTCTGTGGGCTTGTCAGAATCCAAACTCTTTAAAAAAGAAAGTTTAATAAGTCATATTAAATTCAGTCCTCAATTATATAAAAAGATGAATAAAGTTTGTTTTATGATTAAGTGAACTTCCACATAATAATAAATAAAACCAAAGTTCTTCTAAGTAAATAGCCTTAAGGAAAAGTATAATTGGCTTTCACATTATTATTTTGGTTATAGTTACCTTGATTTTTACATATATGCTTACTTTTAAGGTGTTGAGACTTGAAACTGTCACAGTTCAGAGTAAATATCTTCAAATTCATCAAGTATAGCGACTGACCTCATTTTATATAAATTCACTATAAAATAGGCTAGGTATATAAATATGGACATGGTAAGATAAGAAATAGAAAGGAACTATGCAGAGAGTTCTGTTATCTCTTTCCTCAAAGAGATTTGGTTTTGGTCTAGTATCATCTCATTGTCTGGCATGAAGTACCCTGAAGATAAGGGACAGTTTTGGACTCCAAATTAGTGAGGCCAGAGACCTTAACAGAGAGTAACTACAACTTCAAACAGTGATGGAATATCCTTGTTCTCTTCAAGCTCTATCAAGATGAGGGCAACTGTAATTCAGTTACACTGCCTGTGACAAAGCTAGAATTATATTGCGCTTCAGGGTAGGTGACTTGTTAAATTATCTCACCACCTTCTTAAATGATACTTTCCCCCCTCACTAACCGTCTCACAGTAAGGAAAAAAGATATTTACAACAGAGAAATTCAGAGAAAGGGTCAGAAGTTATTTAGTGTCTATTTAAATAAATTTGCGAATACGAGGCCACATCAAAAAGTTTATGTAAAAACAGAATTAAAAGATAATACAGTTCTTTCCATGAACTTTTTGAAGTACCCTTGTATTAGGATTGGTCTTTTAAAACTTTAATTTCTATCTAATTATCAAATAAGCTCCAAATTTTAAAAAGAATGCTGGATATTCTATGTGTAGAATCATAGAATTAGACCTTTGTACATCCTATTTTTTAAAGCTATCAAATAAAGGAGAGCCACAATCTCTTCAGGGCCTTATTTCAAAGTTTCAAAAAACAGCCAGGAAATTTTTCTTTAATCCTGCAGCAATTTAAGCCCTAATCCTCCTTCTCTCAGTGGAAATGGAGAATAACAAGTAGCTAATGTTTTCTGTAAAATAACTTGAATATAATTGAGGATATATTAAAAGTCATTTACCAGTTCAAATATACAGATATTTATTATAATTAGCTGTATGTCCACGGTGCTGGGGCACAAAGGGAAATAGTAAGAAATACTCATTAGGCCAGGAAATCGGTAATCTAGCAGGGTAGCTTTTAACCTTTTGGGGGAGGGGTCACTGAGAATTTGATAAAAGCTATGACTCCTCTTCTAGAAAAGTACACATACACACAAACTTTACAAACTATTTTAGGAGATTCACCAACCTCTTAAAACTTAAATCTGATTAAATATAAAGTTGAAAATACCATTAACATTGAATATGTGATACAGGTGCACAGATGACACTTTGCAGTGAACTGAAGTAATGAAATAAATAAGAAACTTGATTTTTTAGCCACTAACTTAGTAAGTCAAATATTTCTCGAAAATTTCGCAGTGAGTCACACTACACAATGATTTTAATCTGTTTTCTCCCTAAAGATGGAGTTATTTAATGAAAAGAATAGTCACCACAATAGTTTAGAAGCCAACTTTTTTGGTGAGTGGCTCTTCACATTTATATAAGGCGGTCTTCAAAAGTTCATGGAAAGATTTGTATTGCCTTTTAATTCTATTTTTCCATAAACTTTTTGAAGCACCCTTATATGTCAGGCAATTTAAAATACAGGGGAGAATACAAGGTATCAAACCAGTAGAAATGCCATCTGCAGTGTGGCAGCATGGAGTTCCTATTTCACCTGGAGCAGTGGACTGATACCTACCTGCCTTTTCTCTTTTTGACCCCCTTCCCAAGTATGGACAATAAAACCACACAGTCAAGGAAACTTCACATGTCAGCTGGCCCCTCCTGCATACTTTCCTTCATGCAGTGTCATTTTCTATTTCCTCTATTTTGCTTCCTCTTTCTATCTAGCACAGACCTGCACAGCCACTACCATCATCACTATGCCAATATTACCTTTTTATTGAAAACTAAAAATTAAATGAAAATGGTTTGGCAACTACAAACATAAGAAAAGACATTTCTGACAAAAAATAATGTTACTTCTTCCAGTCAGAGATGAAGGACTGATCCCTATGAAATCCTAGTAGGATTGAAAATATTCTCCCCCAAATTCAGTATTAACAGATTACGGTCACAAAGATGTCTACCTTTCAAAATGATCTAGGAAGAATTACATGAAGAGTTTATCTGTTTCGATTCTAGACTGCCACAGAAAGAGCTACAGAAATAAGCTAGTACTTTAAGCTTCCACCTTACCACCTTAATTTCTCTATTAGTTAAGGGATCTCATACTTATACAATTTTATACAAATGTTCTTCCCAGAGATATAGTTAAGGATAATGATAAGTTTTGTTCATTTACCATGAAGTTAAATTTATTTTAATAAACACAACCATCTTCATATATTGGGTATAATGTATTAACTGGGGCAGTGACAGTGGTCTTCTTTTATCCTAAAAAGTGTCCTGGTTTAAAGGATAAGGATATTCTTTTTTAAAAAACCTAAGATCCATAAAACAAAATGAAAAAATTTTGCCACTGCTTTAAAATGCAGCCTGGCCTAGTTCTCAAAAAAAAAAAAAAATTAAAAAATAATGCAGCCCGAGATGAAATTCTGTCAGTATTCTGGAATCATGTAATAGAAATATTTACATGTGAGAAAATTATTTATGTTGTAAAATGTATTCAAATTTACTAAGTTATGAAATAGGATTTGCTAAAATTGACTTTTAAATTTTAAGCTTTAAAACTTTTTAGGTAGCCAGCTCATATTTATAAATGGATATTAAGTAACTCCTCTAGATGCACAGAACCTTTGTCAAAAGTATTTTTTTAGAACATCCTTAAAATAACTATAGAAGATAATATCTTGTTTTCTAGAGTTACTATTCTTGTTCTTGTTAATGTTTTGGACATTTTTCCTTTTTAGCAGTATTTAAAAATTTAACTTATATCCATATCCTTATGTCTGCACATTAAACTTTTCGCACACAGTAATGACTTCAAATTCTCAGCCAGTTTTTCAAGTAATACTTCTAACCTGAGTGAGTTTGTCTAGTTCCCCAAGCCAAGCTCCAAACATTTTGTCCAGGTCCTGATCTTCCTTGTCACTGTCTTCTTCAGCACCATGGTCAATTTCTTCATCTGATAGCTGCTCCATCTGAAATACAGACATTTGTGTAGAATAAATAGTTACAGGTTTAACTTGAAAAATTATGCAACGTATACTCTGATGTATATTTCAATCTTTGGAGTCAAACCTTCAAAACTAGAAATTATAAAAGAAAATTAGAAATCATTCACAGAGACAAGTGTTGACAAGTGAGTAGAAATGAGGAATAAAGTCTCAAATTTTTAGGAAAATTTTAGAAAAGCAAACTATTGATTATGACCAGGATCACAAGTAACAATAAAAAATTTACGGAGCACTCCCTTCAATCAGCAGAGGATACAATAGGGCAGTTCTCTCCACTAATAGATTCTGTAATATCCCAAATATTACAAAGGAACAATTTCAGAAGATTTTAATGCAGCAAGTTATTATCTTGTTTGTTCTGTAAAAATCTGTTTACATACAAACAAACATGTATCTTGCAAAACCTTAGTCCAACAAGCATTTAAGAGAAAAGACAAAACAAAATTTTTAATTTAATTTGGTCTGTTGAGTTAGTTCCTCCTTCTATCCTATCCTCACCTTTTATCCCATTTGTCTTCTTTCTCTACCTTACTCATTCTTCCCTACCAGTTCCTATAAAATCTAAGGAGAAAATAGTATTGAAAACTTTTAAATTCATATACAAAATTTCCCATACGTGGTGACTTTTCAAATATAAGTCCCTTGAAAGAACAGAGATTATTTTCTTTACTCCCGTTAATAAAATAATATGAGACGTAAAGCACTATATTTATGGTGATCATATTCTCTACAGTAAAAATTTGGTCACACAATAGTCAGAATATCTATCCAGGTGACCCCTCATCAGGAAAATCTGTGACATATGAACATCATAACACATACTATGAGAAGGTTAACATGAAAAAGGACGGGAAGAGAATATTAGTCGTAGACCTCTATGAATGAGACACTGTGATAGGTAGGTATTATCATTCCCATTTTATAAATTAGGAAAGTGGATCAGAGAATATAGTGAGCACTAGGTGTTCTTGGAAGCCTGAGAAAATGACTCCAGGCCCTCCAACTTCAGTTGTTTTACAAATGGGGCTTCCACATAAGATTTCATTTAAACCAAGAGTTCATGTTTAAAAAAGAAAAAAGGTTTAAAGTCTGTATTTCCTTTCTGAGCATACACTGTAATTGCCCTTAAGGAAAATGCTCTACTGGGAAAAACGAAACAACAGAAAAACAGTTTTTAAAACGCAAATAAAAAATAATTCAAAACGAATATGAGTATTTTAAATTATCATGGAGCCAAATAGAATTATAGACTCCACATCAAAGTCTAGTGTGTTTTGTGAGTTTTTCCCTACTATTCAAACAAGTTATTTGGGTTAAAAAAATCCTTTTAAATATTTTCATGATTAGTTTTGTTTCTATCTCAACTACTACATACTCAAGTTGAGGAAAATATGGCTAGGGAACAATGACAGAGAACCATAAAATAAACATAAATTTTGAAGTAACTACTGAACATTTACCATTTATGTCACTTTTTCCAATTTTTTCCTTTTTTGAATTTATCACACGGATTATTTTATTAAAAAATAACTTAAACTTATTCAGAGACATTTCCAATAAAAATTTAGATCCCACAACATTTCTTAAAAAATGTACACTCTAAAACACTCTCTATTTCCTAGAAGCTGATGTTGATGATCCTTACTCTCTTACCCCCAATGCAGCATAATTTCTATTTACTATCTACACCAAATGAGGAGCCCCCAGACAGTTTTTTTTACAGGCTCTAAGATCAGCAAATCCCGTTAGAAGATTCATTCTTGCTTGCCAATTCCTTGACATCCACACCCTACCCGTCCTAAAAATTGGTTGTAATTGCCATATATCACCAGTTAAACAATTCTAAACCTGAATTTTCCCAACATAATGTCCCTACTAGAAACAATGACATCAGAAAATAATCTATCAACTGTTCCTCCAAAGGGGAAAAAATTTAAGAAAAATAAAACACAAGTTAGAGATCTTGTTTTTAAAATAATTTGGATTTAAAAATGGATAGCTTCTTTTTTTTTTTTTCCTTTTTGTCTTTTTTACTGACTGGTAATGGGATCGCAACCCTTGGTGTTGCGCCCGTACCGGGGACCGGCAACGGGATCGCAACCCTCAGTGTTGCGCCTGCACCGCGCTCAGCCAGTGAGCGGGAACCGGTCTCCACATGGGATTCGAACCCTCAGCAGGAGCGCCGCCGCGCTCCCAAGCGGCGCACTCTCCATTGTGCCACCGGGCCGGCCCAAAAATGGATAGCTTCTAATGTGATGCTTTTCCTTAATGATATCCAGATAGGCCCAAGGAAACTATAATGCATACTGCAGATTAGGTACTTTGGGGAGGAACATATTAAAGTTTCACTTATTTCCCTGCTCCATTACAAATGAGAGAAACTATGTCCTGAAAGAGTAAATATACTCTACTGCAAATGAGAAAGCTTATTCCCCAAAGTGCAGACTTACTGAAGACAATAAAATCCAAAGTTACTGGCAAGTCAACAAAGCCCTGTGTGATCCTAGCCTTCACGGACATCTGTTCTCACCCTCCCCTCACTGCTTCCCTCCCCCATCCTTTCTTCCAGCCATTGTCCTGCTTGCTGTTCCTTGGGACATACAGACTTACTCCACCCTCCAGCTTCTACTATGCCACATTCTCTGCATGGAACTCTCTCTTCTAGGTAGCCACATAGCTCACTCCCTTACTTCATTCATGTCTCTACTTAAATGACTATCCTATCAAAATAGGAACCCATCCTTGTTACTTTCTATCCCACCTATGGTTCTATTTTTCTTCACAGCATTTATCACCATGTATCACTTTTATTGTCTCTCTTCCTCCACTAGAAGGAAAGCTCCATAAAAGCAAGGGCTTTGGTTTCCTTCTGTATCTTGGAATGATGTCTGGCTCATAGCAAGCATCATTAAATATCCACTGAATGAATATCCAACTATATATGTGTGTGTGTGTCTACATACGTAAAAAAGATAGACTTTTTAAAAGGTCCCTACAGGACCAGTTTAAGGCGAAAGCCCACAAAAAAATCAACATAAGTAATAAAAAGACCAAAATGAACATTCATAGAGTACTACTATTCTTCAGGACTAAGTGCTTCATACAGAACTCCTCATCTCACACAAACTTTTTCAGATAGTAAGTGTAAGAGAGAGTAGGTAACTTTTCCAAAGGCTCACATCTAGAAAATGGCAGTGTTAGAATTTGAACCCAACTGTGTAATGACTTATTCTTCTATAACACTGGTTTTCTAACTGCCTTCCAGGGAGGTGTTTTTAGTAGCCACCATGTACATAGATGAGTTTGAGAAGGGTATACTAAAAAAAACTGTCACTTTTATTCAGTCATTCAACAAATATTTACTGAGCAGCTACCACATGCCAGGCACTATTCTAGGTACTGAGAATAGAGCAGTGAAACAAGTCAGATAAAGTCCCTTTTCTAATGGATCCTTATTCTACTGGCATGAAGATGAAGAAGAATCAGCTATAGAAAATCTAGGGGGAAAACAGCCAAAGGAAACAAAAAAGCAAAGGCCAAAGTAGGTATAAGCCAGGTGTATACAACAAAAAGAAAGCCCATTCTATGGCTGGAGACCAAGGTAGGAATAAGTGAGGTGTATTCAATGGAAAGAAAGCCTATTCTATGGCTGGAGCCCAGTGACCTAGTCAAGTTTATTACAGAAAAATCGAAGAATACAGAAAATAATGATTTAGCTAATGTTTTAAACTAATTTATATCTATTTTATTCATGAAAAAAAAAGAAATAATGGTGGAATGATCTACCATTGCTTATATACTGGTTAGTTTCATTTCACTAATAACAGTGAAAAATTTCACTAATAACAGTGAAAAATTGTGCTCAATTATTACAGGTTAAAACTTGTGTAATGTATATAGTAAGTTCCACTACACATGATGAAACCATCCATTTAGTACACCTTAGTACGAAACAATATTTTTCTCACTAAAGTTTCCATGACGTTAATTATTCAATCCTATCTTCCCTCCCTATTAACCTCCTCTCTCAGGATATATTTTGGTTTACTATTCAATTTCCTCTCTGTGAGATGGAATGGTGACTCTTTATCAAGAAGGCTGGACGTGGCCTAGGGCTTAAGAATTTGGTTAAATATATCCCAGGTAGGGCAAATTATAAAGAGCAAACGAGAAAGTGTTTGTGAGAATGTCATGAGATCGACTCAAATAAAACAAGAAGGAAGCATAAGATTAAAAAGTGAAGGATTAAGGCAGGATTGGTCATATAGGACCTTGAAAGCCAAACCTATTTTTTTTTCCTGAAGGCAAGTAAATTCTTAATGTAGAAGTGAAGCGGGCAGGGGCAGAAGTGGTATTTTAGTCAGAGGTGACTGTGTATAAGAGTTTTTTAGAGAAGCAAAAGACCATTAGAAGGCTACTACAAATATTAGGTAGAGGAAATTATAATTATAGATAAGGAAATTGAAGTCCTGAGAGGAAATACAACTTACACAAATCACATACTTAAGAGTGGTAAGGAAAATACATGGCATATAGCCAGGCTGCCTCATTTATTACGAAGCTTTTTTTGTCTCTTTAATACTTCAAAAATAATTGCTTTTTGCAAACAAACAAACAAAACTCTATACTTATCCACGTGAAAATTCTTAGAATACAGATGAGTGGAGCTGTCACTAGAGCAGTTCTCTGGGTCTAGCATGCTTAATATTCCAAAGAGGCAAGAGAAGCTTTGATTTCTTTTAACATTTATGGTACAACTAGAAAGGGAAGGGTATTTTACACAGAGGGACCAGCACGTGTAAGGGTTATCAGACATATTGAGAACTCTAAGTGTACTAGCACTTCTGAAGCATATGATGTGTGGTACAGACTCAATGGAAAATGAGGCTGGAGAGGATGAAGGGGCAAAATTATAAGCCACACCCAAGAGTTTAGATTTTATCCTGTAAGGCAATGTTTTAAAA